CCAGAGTGGACCGTTCTACGAGGGGGTACTTGCCAATTCGGTGGAGACCTGTCTCTTATACACATCTAGATGTGTATAAGAGACAGCTCACACACACACACACACACATCAAACCATGCACAGCAATGCCGGCCTTCAGAGGCAAGGTAGGTGCAGGTAAGCCTCTCTCTCTGATGCTAAGGTATGGTGCAAGTACACCTCGTACTCTAGCTATGGCTACTCTCACTCTCTCTCGTCTTCTCCAGACTCCCTACTTCCAGCACTTGTTCTCAGCAGCTCTCCAGACTCCTTGCAGCGCAGGGGAAGAGATAATAAGCTGGTTATGGACGAAGTAATGTAGTGCTGACATGGCAAGGCCTGCCTCAGGTTGCCTCCTTGGATGGCTGAGAGGGCAAGAAATTTGTCACGCCCGGCGTGCACCTTGACCCAGTGGACCTGAAAGATCCGGAATCTGGTGCTGAGCCTTTGGACTGTCTATGACCTGTAGTCAAGGCTGACACTGGAGAGTCTGTGCCCGGTGAGGAACTGACTATTGACTTTCCTAGGGCCTGATTTGACTTCAAAAGGACCCGGGTCCCTCGTTTTGAACTTTTGACCCCTGACCCCAGGCCTGCCAGCTTAATCAGTTTCCCAGACCTATTTCCCAGCCCTCACTGCATATTTTGATCCTACAACCTTGCTGCTGGCCAAAAGCTACAAGCCCTAGACTTGTTCAATTGCTCGTTTTGGCCGTAGTGCTTTGCACAGTTGACTACAACAAAAACTTTCGCCTTAACTGAGAAAGCATTCAAAATGTAAACAAAGCAACCTGCGGCATGCCTGAAAAAATAAAATAAAAACTGTGCTGAATCCTGATGGGTAACTCACCTCCTGTAAAGGGGTCGGCATTTATAGAAGGGTCCACACTCGTCCGGATGGCAGCCCTTGAACCTAACAGCCGGTGGAGCAAAAACACAAACGCAAAAGCAAATTCCACCACAGAAACACATCACGATACAATGAACAAAGAATCTCAACAATGGCCGAATATTAAAAATGTGATCTGCTCCTTCCGTGCTGCCACGTCATACTCCTTCCTCCTCCTCCTCCGCCAAGGAACCATCCTACCCAGTCATTGTGGCTGAATGACACACACATGTAACTGTTAATACATAGATGATATCATGATGAGTTTTAACCATACTTGCGGCGCATCGATACGGTGCACGATGCGCCGTGCGCCCCTCGGCTGTGCACGCACTCATGCACGATGCGCGATGTGGTGCGCGGTGGTCCAGTGCGCAGTGCACTGGTGCGCTGGGGCATGCGTGTGCCGGGCGCATTTGCGCGTAGCGTGCGCTCGGGAATGCGAGGATTTTTTTTTTTTTTTCTCTCCGTAATACAGTAAGAGTCCATGATATATTAAATAATATCATAATATAATATGATATTATTTCACCAGCGACCACCCGATGAAGGTGCTCGTTCCAACAAAAACCGAATCCGCGATTACAGCCTGATGGAAGATCGACCGTCGAACAAAAAAGGAGATGGAAGATGGACCGACGAGGGATGGTGGAAAGACGAGGGAGGGGGGACGTGAAGAACGGAAACAAGCATGATGAGAAGGAAGGAGGGAGGGAGGAAATGGACGAGGGGGGGAATGGATTAGGGAGGAGCACACCGATGACAAGGGAGAAGCACACGACAAATGGGGAGGGTATTCGCTGCCAATCGGACTTCGAAATAAAAAAATGCAGACAGAAGATGGAGGACGGATGAAGTAGGAGAGACGAGGGAGGAGGGAGGAAGTAGGAGAGACGAGGGAGGAGGGACTAAGGAACTGCATTGAAAAGAAATCCCGGTGTGGAT